GAGCGGGGCCGCCTCGGCCGGCAGGCTGGGCGGCGAGAGGAGGGCTCAGGCCCTGCGCGTTGGCCTGCTCTGCGTCTTGTCTTGAGGGCCTGAAGGAGCTTGCTCCTGCGTTTCGCATCGCGGTGACACTCGGTCCCTCAGGAGACCCCGCGCATTAAGCGCTCTCACTCTAAAGCTTTCTCAAACCATCGGGCTTGGGTGCCTCGGTCATCTAATGTTACACTTTCACCCAGATATAAACCTTTTCCTTTAGCCATGCCCTAAAGTAGGGACACGGGGAGGTGCTGTAGCAGTGTTGTTTTCATTTTCTGCAAACACTTTTCTTCTAGTATCTCTGCATCTCTTTCCCTCCCCTGGAGGCTATTTTCCAGCATTACCCTGGCTGAGGTGTGTGGCATCATGAACTCTCATCTGAAGTCGGAATGCAGTTTTGAAGTTGCCTCTGAATAGCTTTGCATTTCAAAATAGTTGCTCTGCCCAGAAGATGTTTTGCACAGAAACCATCAGAGTAACAATCTGATGCTGGTGTTGCTCAGCTGATGACTTGTCTTCAGAGACACCTTTGCACATACAGCGACAGGCTGGCTATGGAACATGCAGCTCAGAGCTTGTCTTCAAATGGAAAGTGTCTTGGTGTAGCCATGGGCCACTCTTCATCTGAGGGATGTATAGGGGAGAGATGACTAAATAGATTCTTTCCATGCTGATAGCACTGGGCAAACTTTAGACTCCAAGGCAAAGTTAATTTGGGGAGCGTAAAGCTCTGCACTTCTGTTCAAAGATTGCAACCTTCGAGCATTTTAAGAATGAAAGAATGCATTTAATTCATTTCTGTGGCAAAACCATGCTGCATTATTGATGGAGAAATTAAATCAGAAGCACAAAATTATTCTATAGTACCCTGTGACTTTAGGTAATCTATGTACATGACCAAGGCATAAATGACTTAAAGCCCAGGTGGTTTTAGATCATGTGGTTGAGAATGTCATATAGTCAGGGAAGGACGTATAAGGTTTGTTTCACACATCAGTCAGCCATGACACCTGATTCATGGCTCAGGTGACATGACTGAAACAAACAGGGATTTATTTTCTTGAATGCTGTATTTCTCTGCTTGAGAAATAAGAAGCAGGGGAAAAACCTGACATAAATACATGGAAACTGTTTTGAGAGACTCTGTAAAAATTTGTAGTTTAATCCTGGAAAGAAGCTGAGAGAGGAGAGCTGACAAGCTTCCTATGTAGGAGGCATCTTGGCACTGTGAGTTAAACTCCCTAGAATTTCATTCCTGATGTGCTTGGAGAAAAGAGACTCTGTAAATTACTTGTGAGCAAACAGGTCTGGGCTCATGGCACAACATGCAGCACCCTGAGTGCTTGCTAGATCAAGAGGAAAGATTCCAGTGCCTTCAAGGCAAATCTTGTTTGATTTAAAATGGTTTGTAAGCTTGGAGGAATAGTAGTGGCTCATTTTACTTTTGGTCACCTTTGGCTTCTTGTATCACTATCTTTACTTGTCAGTGCTCTTTCATAAAGAGGGGCATCTCGAGTGCTGTGTTATAGTGCTTCCTCTTATTTTTAGGCCTATCTCCAAATCTGCCTTGTATTTTTATCAGGCAAGTTTATTCCTTCCTTCCTGGAAGTAAGTTTTCAAGATCTGCCCTTCTTCATGCCTCTACATGCATGTAGGACAAACTGATAGATTATGTCAGGGTTCTTAGTACGTGAAGTGAAATAACCTGAAGTAATGATTTCAGACATTTATCACATTAGGCATCAATGTCAGGTTACCTGTGAAGCTACCCTGAGGTGCTTGATGCTTAAATTAGGCAGAATGCAGCTAACAAATCTGACGTGCTAGAAGACACTGTGGTGAAGAGATCAGCAGTAGGAGGCTAAAGAAGGGATGTGAATTTCAAGGACTAATATACAAGAGTTTGTATGGTGCATGCAGAAGGAGATCATTAATCTTATATAGGTCATGGCCTCACCCTTTAAAGTGTTTTCTATTGTTCTTTTCTGTCACAGGTACAACTGAGATACAAAAGTACTAGTTTACAGGTGTACTCTTTCACATAAGTCTTATGCAAGAAGCCAAGGAAAGGGTTTGGTTTTGTTTTCTCCCACACACTTCCTTTTAACTAATTTATTTCCTTAAATCTCACCAGGAGGTGAATAAATCCACCCCCAAAAAGCTGAACAGGATGTCTGGTAGCAATACCTTATTTTGTTATTCAGAGTCAAAGCAGAGAGGAAAGAAGAGAAAGTGCAAGGTGGGATTACAAACGTAGATAGTAGAAACTATGATAGGACAGAGGATCTGGCAGGCAGGAGAAAGACTGGCACCTCTTGTTTGACACCCCCTTTTACCCCATCTCTTGGTTCTACCATCCCAGCTTGGAAGAAGCCTAAAGCTTGGGCTCTACTGCACCTTTATAGGTAAACTGGTGATAAAGTGGGTTGATCTGGAGCCCAGAGGGTTGAAATGAATACAGGAGGGACAAACTTAAGGCTGGGTGAACACAGAGCTTTGTCTCTTTGCCCTGGAGTTGCCTGCAAAGCATATCCATTGTAGCAGGGGAGTGAAAGAGTTTTTAGTGCTGATCAAAAGGGTTGCTCTCACCACGTGAGGGTAGACACACAGGGGTGTCTGAAGAACTAGGATTCAAGGTAGTCTTGGTTACTTCCTAATTTGCCAGTTTAAAGGGCAAATGAAATAATTACTGTCATGCAGGTTAACAGAATAATCTATGTAGACATAAGCTAATAAACTTCTAAGCAAAATGTGCAGGAGTAACAAAAAATCCCAAACCCTTATGTACTGTAAAAACATGACATATATAAAGCATAAAGCCCATGCAGCACGTTAACATGCTTTCTGACTGAGATTTTATATGGATTAAAAAATTAGAGGGAAGTTTGAGGGTTGTGTTTCCCATAGCAACCATACGTCTGGTGCCTTGTGCAAATATATAGTATTTTCTACTTGTGATGACTCTTCTGGAAAAATACAGAGTGAAACCAAGATTGCAGTGGTAAACGTCACTCAAGATGGCCTGAGCTTGTGCACATAGGTGCTCACTCACCAAGATCACTGTCCACAAATCTTCATTAATGTAATTTTTAGTGTTTATTCTCTTACATTAAGAAAAGCAAAGAGAAGAAACATAAATTTTGAATAATAATCCTTCCTATAGGTGCATTACATCCTTGGATGTGTGTCTTTGGAGGGGAGGCTGCTGGTGAGGTAAGTACAGGTGTGCTCATCCCAGCATGAAGGAAAGCAGACAACTGTCTCTTCTCCACAACCTTGTGCTCTAGAGACAGAATTGCAGCAGGGCTGGATCAGAGCAGTCTGTCATCTTGCTCCTGGAGCAGATCTTTGGCTATTCTAAACCCATTTTTTCAGCTCAGCAGCTGAGTAACCCCTGTTACACGAAGGTGATGAGCAGTGGCTTCCCAGTGTGGTAATGGACAGATTGCACGGTCTTGTCATGTAGAGCTGCTGTATAGAAAGGTGGAAGGTGCATTTCCAGTGTTAGTGTGACCTTGTGCTGTGGCACTGTAGCAGACTTGCTGCATTTGAGAGTCACCTAATGTTTGTTCAGGCTTGCTCAGTAAGGACCGTGCTGCACCAGATGTAGGTTATTATTCTGTATTTTGAATGGTCAGGAAGAAGCTTTGTGGTTTGGTCTGTTTTTTTTTCCTTTGGGATCCCACAGTCTAGGTGCTGGAATTTGACAGTGTCTAATGCTTTGTCACTGGACTCAGCTGTGTACACATCAGTGTCCAGCACCATCTGGGATATCCCAGGCTATGTCCTCTGGCCTCTAGCCACTAGAGGAGGGGTCCTGGGGCTGCTGTTCCTTACCTGCCAGCCCACTGTGCATCCCTGAAGGCACTCTGTGGCATCTCGGAGAGCACAAGGTAACTACGCCGAGAAACCAAAACAAACCCCAAGCCTTTGTGTTGTCCTGGGCAAGATGTCGGGTGTCATTAAAGTCTTCCCCTTTGATTACACTTGGGTAATGACACTTCCCTGCCTCTAAGGAATGTTGGGAGAGGTAATTAACTGAGTTTATGTTTGTATAGCATTTTGAAGATGAAATGTGCTGTGAAAATTATTAAGTGTTATTTCACTAGAAACTTTGTGACAGTGGCTCCCTAGTGGAAAGCCTGCTGTTCCAATTAAGGGGTAGTACTGCTGACAACCAAGGTATTCATGTAATTAAAATAGTGTCAGATGGAAAGCCTTTACATGGAACATACAGGATTAAAAATAACATTCACTTTTAACAGCTGAACTGAACTGTCTTCTGCAAGGCCCCCATCCTCCACTGCTTGACAAGCTGAGTAAACGTGAAATGTGGGACTCAAAGGAGAGGCTGTGTAAAAGTTGATGAAGACCTTTGTACCCAGCATGGGGCTTGCAGCTGCAAGTTACTACAACCTTTTGAGGGCACTGGTGCTATTCAAGGTCTGTCCACTGATTTTTTAATTTTTCTTTTTTTGCTTTTTCGTGCAGTACCAAAGCCTGTGCATGTTATTTCAGGGTGTGTTTCTAGTGAACTCAATGGATTGTACGGATCCCCTGCTGAACCACATACAGAGGTCAGCAGCAGGCAGTCTGTGAAAGCAGTGCAGATCCGATGCTTAGTGTCCCTTCTCGCCCATGCACGCTTTGTACGAGCATGGTCTGAGGCAACTGGGCAGTATGTGCCTGTGCAGGACAGGATCAGAGAGGGTGCTCCCAGCAGTGCCTGCTGCCAGGGAGATTTCAGACTGGATTCCTAGCAGCTGTCAGCACTACGCTAAAATGCTGACAATTTTTAAATTATATTAGTAAGGCTATGATATTGTTTGCCTCTGTCTTCCTGAAAGAGCAGAAGTAGCTTGTGAAGAAACTGTAGCCCTCTATTTCAGCTCAAAAGGCTGTATGACCCTTTGGCTAAAAAAAAATCCCGAGAAATCAAGGAGTTCCTGCCAGGCACGGGGGATCCAGCAGCTCCCCGCTCAGAGCTCACAGGCTGGAGCTCCTGCATGCCCAGCAGCCTTTGGGTGAGTTTCCTCTTTGAAACAGCCCAACAGGCTGAATCTGGGAGCACGAAGTAGCTGACAGTGACTGGCAGGATTGTCATACGCAAGACAGGATGGATGCACATGGGGATTCTCTGGGGTTTGCAGAAAAAATATTTTGCTGATGGGAGGCTGATGCTACAGCACAAAGTGATGTCTGCAATCAAAGTGAACTGTGGGGAAACCTAGCTGAAATTTAAAACAGCTTTTAAACTATTAACTAGATTTTTCTTCTTTTTTTTTTTTTTTTTTTTTTTTTTTTTTTTTTTTACCAGGCTTGAATAGTTTTTAACAATTTCAAAATAATATTTTGGTTAAAATAATGAAAACCATAATTTGAGGCATTATTCTCCTGCACATACCTATTTTAAACTCGCATTGCTCCACCAGCCTCAGTGCAAACACTACCCACCCCCAACCCCAAACAGTTTATTTGCCCACTTGGATCACAGGCAGAGAAGCACAACCACAACCAGCAGCCACAGAAAACGGCTGCCCAGGTGTGCACCTCATGGAGGCAATAGGCACCTCTCCTCTGGCCGTGGCAGCCTCCTGAAGGCACCCCCTCCCACGAGACTGTGTGCTGCAGCTGGATTCACTGGAGCAAAAATCAGGCCCAGAGCGTCTGGGTTTCTGCCCTCACAGTTACATAGGGCTGTCAGCATGGATAGTAGCAAAGGGCAGGCTAAAGTCCCAACGAGTCCTCCACCCTGTTTCTCGCAAACAGGCATCTCTTGAGGCTGTGCCAGCAGAGCTCCCTGGCGTGACGCCAGGCTCTCAGCTGACCCCACACCAAGCCCAGGAGCGGCGGAGGAAGAGGTGCTCGAGCTCTGGCGTCTCAGCCAGCGTTTATCGGGCATTTGCACTGTCGGGAGGAAAACATGTATGCACGCCTCTGAAGGCACTCGGTTGAGGCTGGCAAGGCTGCTTGTGCACGGGAGCAGACCCAGGACTACAGAGCAAAACACCCTTCAGGTTACAGGTGATTAAAGTTTTTGTTATGAAAAAGTGAAAACGTTACCTTGGAAACTGGCCAAAGACAGAACATTGTCCAGAAAGGTCATCTGAAAGAAGCTTTTTTAATTGGAGACTCAAAATATTTATGTGTTCAGGAATGTTATTTTTTCCACTGAAAGGGTCCAGGCACCTAAATGGATGCAACTAAAACATTGTGCGTGTGTGTGTATATAAATATATATTAGGAAAATATATTTAAAATATCAGCTAGGATAAAAATCAATAAAGTTCAAAGAAAGCCTGTATGTTCTCATACTTTATATATGTTATATATAATGATCTCTAAGGATTTCATTCTCAGCATAGAAAAATAAAAGCTTATTCTTAGATTTTTAGCTAGGATTTTATTTGTAAAAGTCCTCATAGTTTTAACTAAACTCTTAATGTCACTTGATTTATAAGATGTTTTGCAAATCCCAACCCGTATAAATATATAACTTCCCATGCGGTTTCATGTGGACATACTTTTCATCACTCCCTGACACAAACTGGTCTGGACTCTCTCTTCAATATTTACTGCATTTACATTGTAGTAGTACAGCAGGTGTCAGTACACCAAAGGATGAGGTGATTTGTAATTATTTTTTTTTTTTTGCTTAACTCAGCTGTGTTGAGTAATCCTGGAGATTTGATTCAGTACAAAACCCCAGTGAAAATGCTAATTAATATGCAGTTAGAAGATACTTAAATGATACAACAGGGTAAACTATGCCGTCTCTGCAGTCGGAGATCAAGACTGCCATACAGAATATATCTAAGTGGGTCTTCAGAATAACAAAGATGTGTTTTTATTTGGATTTTTAAACATGTGATTTCTTCTCTGGGGACACGAGGCAGCTGGGGAGCGACTGAGTACTTTCATGAGCAAGAAGCAGAAGTTTGTACAGCTGTCAGTGAAATGAGGCTTCTGGGTGCTGACTTAATATAAGCAATTAATAAGTGGGAAAGCAGCTGTGAAATGCTTTAGCCAGGTATTATAATACAATTTCCACAGTCCTATGTAATTAATATAAATGTGGCCACTTGACATCTCTTAGGAAATTTTTTCCATAGGTCAGCAGACATCTCTAGCCTTGCCAAAAGGACGAAGTGCACTCCAGGAGAAAGCCTGCAGACTTTGCACCCAGCGTGCACGCCAGGAGCCATTGTCCCTCTGGGCTTGTGTGATCTGGAACACCTTCATAAAATGTGTCCAGAACAGATACGCAAGTTCCCAGTCAGGACTTGGGCACTGTGACTGTTAGTTTTGGTGAACAGAAGAAAAAGTCCCCTTCTACACTCACTTGTAAGTGAGAGACTTTTAAAAGCCTGCCTGTAGGTCTCTGCCTGGGCCAAGCTTTGTCGTTGTTCTGGAACAGGCTCTGGCATCCACCGAAACCTGCATCTGCATTGAACCGCGTCCAGCCCCGTCAGCACGCTCCCCGGCTTCTCGATGCTGGGGTCTCTGAATGGTCATGTGGGCCCGCTGGGACAGACACCATACCTTTCCAGAACTGGTTGTAATTTAAACCTCCTAACAGTCGCTGGCAGGCGGCCCACTGCATCACATGCCTGTGAACGGCTCGGCTATGCCAGTCCCTCCTCCTGTGGAGGAAGACGAGGTTACGGCACCCAGCTGCTGGAGAGCAGCGCCGCTTCCTGACTTCATGCGCTGTTATTCCCTAACCCAGTGTGATCCAGGCTAAGTTGCACAGTTTCAGCAGCAGGGATTTTCTAGCCAGGATCACTCTGACATAATGTGGTTAAGGAGCAGCTCCATGTGCAATTGTGCCGGGAGGTCTGAGGGACAACAGCAACCTTTGCTCAGGGCAGACCGAGGGAGCAGCTCAACCCAGGTGGGTGCAATGCAGCCCCCACCGTGGAGTGCCAGATGCCTCTCCAGACCCAAGCCCTCACTATGAATGTTCATTACAGCTGCAGTTGGCACCCCTCTGGTGAAAAACCAGGACAGCCAGCTTCCACAAAGCAGTTCTCATGACTTTTTTACAGTGAGTCCCAGCTGCCACTGGTGAGTGCCAGCCGCAGCATTGGGATCTGGGCACGTACCAGAGGCACTCCTTGTAGGAACGTGCTATCCTGCAGAGGGGTGATGATCAACAGCAGCCCATTTGCTTCAGGATGTGGAAGGCTACTTCCACGGCACTAGCTCTGGATGTGTAAATGTTAATTCTCCCTGGGCCCCTCTCTCATTTCAGCAATGGGTGGGCATGGCCTTGCCTCTGTCAGTGTCTGCCACCCTCTGACCAGGGTTACCAGAGCTCAGAGCTGGTGAGTACCGTGAAGTGACTGCCATCAGGAGGTGTGTAAAGCTGTCTGCTGCCTAGTTTCCCCTGGGGCTGTTGGCTCTTCCTGACATCCTGAGCATTGTGGCTGTATTTTGGAGAAACAACAATCACAGCAACTATTCCTGGGTCACTGTGGGGACACTTGTCTTCACCCTGCCATCTGCGGGAGGAGCCATCACTGCCACCATCGTGGGTTTGCTCCACTACACTGTGGGAACTTGCAGCAGAGGCAATTTGTGCCCAACCACGTCAGCTGCATCACCTGTGCGCACAATGCCCTCGTGTTTCTGATCAACATCCCTGTCGTGATCTTGGTTACGACTGATCTCTGTGGTGGAGACAGCACCCATGCAGAATTTTCAGGTCGTATATCCCAGTTGTGCCTGGCTCTGAGTAGCTGAGGGCCTGTGGGTTGTAACTCTGAGATGGTTTGTTGCCAGCACAGAAGACATAATTTAGATGACCTGCTGTATCCTTGGGGACAGCGGGGGAGCCTTTAGCCTACCCGGTCAGGTCCATGTGTAGAGCATGGCC